GACAACAGAGAGAGAGAGGAAGTTGCATACCTGAGCAGGAAGCAGTCTCCCATTACACATGTGAGGTGCTTTGTGAAATCTTGCTCCAAGGGATTATATAGTACTTAGATTAGGATATGCCCAGTGTATTTCCAACCTTTAGCACAACTACAGTGTATACTAGATTGTAGTAACAGTTTTCTGGTTGAAATCACTTGTTAATTGGAACTGTGCTTTATTAAATTACTGGTTCACAAAAGATGACGGATTTACATTTTTAAAAATATATTTATTTATGGGTTTGAAGCTGTAATGATGTAAAGCAGGGAGAGTGTTCAAACAGCTAAGATCTGTCACATGCTGGGCTCAGGACAAAATGCAAAAAGGGAGTGATACCAGAAAGGATGTAAAACATATATTTTTTTTTTCCTTGCTTGTAATATAAGCTTCTAAAGTCTTATTTGCTGGAAATCAAAGTATAATCCACTGTTTGGTTATTATTCTATAATGCAGTAAAGCGCTTTTTTAACTTTTTAAAAGTATTATAGCTCTGTATGTGTACATTGACAGGGAATCTTAATTTGTATAATTCTTTCTCTTAACTACCACTGTGTCATCTATCCATAATCAAAACATAGAGTGTTATCTCCAATTCAAGGCCACCTGGATATTCTTTAACTTGAGTATTTGGTAATCATTCACTTGAGCAATCAGTTTCCTTTAGAAAGAAAGAAGTGTAGGAGAGTGCCACAGGCTGGGATGGAACTGAACAGAGTATTTAGGTCCCATACACGATGAGAATGTGAGTCTAATACAGAAATCCTGATGTTCCAATGTGTACAAGGACATTTCTAGAGCCACATTCAAGCCTACTTTGGAATATAATGAGCTTAATACAAGTAAGCAAAAATGAACTAAAAAATTCCCCCCAATAATTTTTTTGTTTTAATTTGCTGATCTGTGATGAAAAGAACACAGACAGTGACTAACCAACCCTATATCTCTACTATGTCCTGTAGTGACATTGGGGTTGATATAAACAACCACAGCACCCGATGGGAGCACATGCTATCCAACACACCCAGAAGAGTTGGGTAACAACAGCATTCGTACCAGACCAGTTAGGTAAGTATTTTTAGTGTACGTACACCCTTAGAATGAACTTCTTGTCTGAGCCCTTTTGCTCAAGTTCTAAATATTTCACCCTCTATTCTTAATGAAGGAAAAAGGGTAGTGTTCTTCTGTGAGACATCCTTTTTTTGGAGAGCTGCGTAGGAGAATGGTTAAGATATGTCATCAGCACACCTACTAGTTTGTCGTCAGGTACAAAACTTTGTTTGCTATTTGATCACATGTGATTACTGTTTCAGGATCATGCAAGAACCTGCCCAATGAAGGGACCCTGTATGAAGCATTGACTATTCATGTGATTATACAGTAAATGAAGCTTTGCACTTGATGACAAGCTTGTGGGTGTGCTGACAACACATCTTATCCATGTTATACATAGTGACCATACAGGACTCAATAAGAGCATCATGTTAAAGGCTAAGGGCCAGAACATGGTGCTGGAAACCCGCGTTCTGTGCACGTTTCACGTATCATGTTCAAAATGCACTGTCGTTGCGATCTACAGCGGATGTCAATATTAAGTTAATGACACACCAAATGCAGGTCACAAACTGAATACTACAGAAGTACCATGCAATTTGACTGCAGGGAATTTCCAAAAATAGTGCATGTGCTATTTTTGGTTCAGTGCTGTGCGATTTTAGCCAATTCAGAATGAATTAGATTAAATCGCACAGCACAAAACTGCATATGAATCGCACAGGAACACACAGTGTGTTCCTGTGCTATTCTGTGTGAGAACCGGCTCTAAGACAGCCTTTTGCAAATAAATAAATAAATGCACCCATATTTACAGAAACAAAAAATGCGATCAGTGGATTGTGGGTGCAATGCACAGGCTCCTGCGGACTCTCCCTCCTGAAACATGTCTGTACTGAGGAATGAACTTCTGGTTATGGAGCTGGAGAAAGTATCAGTGGGTTACAAGTGTGGTGATCGCTGCACTTGAGTTCCATTGATAACTGAATCCCTTTGCCACTGTGCCAGACAAAACTTTGTGACTTTAGTGATTTGTTGACCAATATGTGCCTGCACAACTGTGCATCATTTAAAAAGTGCCAGTAGCCGCTGGAAAGAGGAGCCCTTGGACTCTGTAAGACCTGGGGTGGTTTGGGTGTCAATTTAGCACTGTTACATTTTACAGCCTAACAAAGGATGTACATGATCTAAAAAGTGGACTTGGCCTTTAACCAGTCCCCCGCCGCCTATAGCATAACTACTGCTGCAGGGCTACGCAAAATCACATGTTTATATATACATGATTTAGCATTTCTGTGTAGGGGGTGGGCGCCGCCCTACCCACGCTGCCATTGGCAGCTACAGCTGTTGATCACCGGTCCCGTCTGGAGATTCCCCGCCGTCGCCTGTCGATCGCCAATAAACAGTGAAAGGGGAGAGGTCTGTGTGTAAACAACACAGATCTCTCCCCTGTCAACACCAGCATGCTGCTTTGTATTGCTCTATATAGTTGAGCAATACAAAGCAGCAGGTTTACCTAATAAAATGCATACATCACACACAGTAAAACAGCACACAGTTAACCCTTTGATCGCCCCAGATGTTCACCCCAGTGTCAGTGCTTTTTATTAGCACTGATCACTGTATTAGTGTTATTGGGATGTCAGTGGCAGTTAGTCAGTTCCCCCCAGTGTCAGAATGCCCGCCACAGACCTGCTATAAGTTGCTGATCGCCTCCATTACTAGTATTAAAAAAAAAAAAAAAAAATATTCCAGTATATATACTGCCATTTGTAGATGCTATAACTTTCATGTAAACCAATTTAATTCACACGTATTGGGATTTCTTTTAGCAAAGACATGCAGCAGAATACATTTTGTCCTAAATTTATGACGAAATTTGATTTTTTTCACTGGATATGGTTTATAGCAAAAAGTCAAAAATTTTTTTCCCAAAATTGTCGGTCTCTTTTTGTTTATAGTACAAAAAATAAAAACCGCAGAGGCGATCAAATACCACTGAAAGAAAGCTATATTTGTCGGGCAAAAGGACATAAATTTCATTTGGGTGCAGCATTGCATGACCGCTTAGTCAGTTAAAGTAACGCAGCGCCGTTTTGCAAAAATTGGCCTGCTCAGGAAGGGGGGTAAATCCTCTGGAGCGCAAGTGGTTAAAGTGAAAGTAAAGCTTGTTGTTTTTTTTTTCCCTAAAATAACAAACATGTCTATACTTGCCTGCTCTATGCAGTGATTTTGTGTATAGCAGCGCCATCCTCTTCTTTTCAGGTCCCCTTCAGCACTCCTCCTCCTCCTCGAGCAGTGTCCTTAGGGAAAGCCCTTGTGGCACCTGTGTGCTTATCCCAGAGCTGCTGCTCTATGCCTCCATAAGACACATAGAGCTATGGCTCGGTTCTGTCCCCCGTTCTCTCCTCATTGGCTCACTGGCTGTGATTGATAGCAGCAGGGGCCAATTGGGTCACTTTGCTGCCTCAGCCAATGAGGAGGAAGAGTCCCCAGACAGCAGAGGCTGTCGAGAACATCGCTGGATCGGAGGGGGCTCAGGTAAGGATTGGGGGGGCCGCTGCACACAGAAGGTAAAAAACTCAGCCTGCAGAACTACTTTAAAGTGATTCTAAATGCTTAATATATTTTATCGTCATGCATTCTATGCATGAAGGTAAAAAACCTTTTGTGTGCTGCTCCCCCCACCACCCCCCCTAATATTTATCTGAGCTCTGTCTTGATCCAGTGATGTGCATGGGAGCCTTGGGTCCCCCTCTCTTCATACCTGAGACACAACAGTGGGATTGAATCCAACTTCTGTCAATCACAGTTTGGCTGTATGTGTCTTATGGATGCATAGAGTGGGGCTCGAGAGCGAGCACACACCAGTGCCCCCATAGCAAGCGACTTGCTATTGGGGCACTGGTCAAGGTGGAGGAGCTAGGAGTGCCGGCGGGGGACCCAAAAAGAGTAGGATCGGGGCTGCACTATGCAAAACCTTACACAGGGCAAGTTACATAGTTAGTCTGGCTGAAAAAAGGACAAAAGTCCATCCAGTTCAACCATAAAAAAAGTTATAAAACCTGTGCCCACAGTTGATCCAGAGGAAGGCAAAAAATACAGCAAAGCATGATCCAATTTGCTCTTGCAGGGATCCCCCGAGAGGCAATCTGATATTCCCTGGATCAACGTTACCTATAAATGTTAGTATCCAGTTATATTATATTCTGTGTATCTATGAAAGAATCCGGGCCTTTTTTAAAAGCAATCCACAGAGCTGGCCAGAACCAACTCTTGAGGGAGTCTATTCCACATGTTCACAGCTCTTACTGTGAAGGAACTCACCATTGAATTCTATAGGAGACCTGCACAATGAAGGAGTATTTGATGCTTTTTACTATTCTAACCACTATATCTGATCTCAGGAAATTGCTGAGATAAGAAACAATGAAATCTCGGAGAATGCCAAAAATATTTTATAATCCACGGTAAGGACATTCACATTGTAAAGATCCCTTAACAGTTTTGTGTATTTTTTTTTTTTCCTAAAAATATTTATGAAGTTTTAAACAAGACCACTGCATTTAAATACCACTCATTTCTGTAAGAGGAAAGTGCAGGTACAGGCCAGACTGCAGCCCCAGCATACTGTGTCTTCAGGCGATACCTTACAGGGGTAAATAACATGTTTGGGTTTTTTTTTCAAATAACAAAGAACCTTAAGTATCACTTTAACCACCTCCTGCCCGCCATATAGTAATATGCCGGGCGCAAGGTGGCTCTCTCGTTCTGGGAGGACGTCATATGACGTCCTCCCATTCTCACTGCGCATGCGCGGCTCAGGGAGGGCGCAGAGCGGCAATTGGCGGTGCGATGTGTCCCTCGGGCACAGCGGATCACAGAGCCGAAGATGTCGGCTCGGTCATGTGATCAGCTGTGTCCAATCACAGCGGATCACATGTAAACATGGAAATGCCGGTTATCGGCATTTCTCTCCTCTTGAGCTGTCACGCTGACAGTTCGAGAGGAGAGGAGAGCTGGTAATCGGCTTTCCGCGGAGGGGACATGTACACTGATCATCAGGGCACTGATGATCAGTGTGCCCAGATGATCAGTGTGGCCCCAGAAGTGCCACTTGTCAGTGTCCATCAGTGCCAGCAGTCAGTGTCCATCAGTGCCAGCATCAGTGCTCATCATGCCTCGTGCCAGTGCCCATCAGTGCCACATATCAGTGCCTACCAGTGCACATCAATGCCACATATCAGTGCCCATCTGAGCTGCCTTTCAGTGTCATCCATCAGTGCCAGTCAGTGCCACCTATCAATGCCAATCAGTGCCCTAACGGTGCCGCCGCCTAACGGTGCCAGTCAGTGCCGCCTATCAGTGCTGCCTGTCAGTGCCATATATCAGTGCCATGTATCAGTGCTGCCTTTCAGTGCCCATCAGTGATGCCTGTCAATGCCCATCAGTGCCACCTACCAGTGCCTCCTCATCAGTGCCACCTATCAGTGTCCATCACTGCAGCCTATCGGTGCCCATCACTGCAGCCTCATTAGTGCACATCAGTGAAGGAGAAAAATCATGTTATTTACAAAATTTTATAACAAAACCTAAGAAAAAACATTTTTTTTCAAAATTTTCAGTGGTTTTGGGTTTGTTTAAGAAAAAATAAAAAACCCAGAGATGATTAAATACCACCAAAATAAAGCTCTATCTGTCACAAAAAAATGATAAAAATTTCATATAGGTACAGTGTTGCATGACCACGCAATTGTCATTCAAAGTGTGACAGCCCTGAAAGCTGGAAATTGGCCTGGGCAGGAAGGGGGTATAAGTGCCCAGGAGGCAAGTGGTTAAGCCTAAATTTATTCCATTATATTGTGTAATAGGATTATACTGTGGCTGGCCAAAACACCTTGAATTTTGGCCAATTCCTGCTGATTTGGCCAAATTCGAGCCATGGTTTGCCCTGTGAGCACCAACCAGCTTGACAAATCAATTTCAGCTAAGCCAGGTGAAAAATTACATGTGGTAAGGGACTGCATCCTATCAGATGCAGTCATTTTTTGAGGTATTCAGGCAGTCACGGGTGTCATGGCTGCCTGAATACTGTAGCCGACATTGGAGTGTGGATGGGGGAATGAATTGGTATTCTGTTGTTCAGACCATAGGCTAAATCAGAAAAATAGAACAGTCCACAAACCAGACATTTCTATGCATTGTGTTAGCTGTATTCCAAAGACCATTTTTTTAAAGTCTGTATTATTCATATATTAAAATGTGCTTTTGTTTTACTATAAATTTGGTGACTTGAATAATCAGCAATATTTCATATTTTTGGGTAGAGTTCTATTTGCTATTTTTTTCAGCCTGTATTTTGAAAGCTCAGCCCAGTGCATTTCACTGGCATTTTAAGAAAGTTCGTATTTTTATGAAGTTTACTCCCGCTGACTTCCACCATATATTTATGATGCCCAGGAGCTGCAGCCCACGTAGAAGACCATGCAGGTAAAATATGCTGGCGGTGACACATGTATGACAAGCCCTGCTATTTGACTGTGTATTACTGGCAGAAGTATGAGGAGAGGCAGGTCGATCAGGTTAGGCGGTGGTTCAAAGTGACAACTCCTGAGAATGAGTCAGTCCTGGTTCAGAAACCGAAGATAAGGAATGGGAAACTTTGTTCAAAACATGATAATCAAGATCAGGTTTGCTCACACTTAACTCGTTTCTCATATATATCCAAAGCTTTGGGTCCATTTGCAATGGTGATGCCTTGTGTTTTTCATGCACAGAAGGGTCTGTTTAAAATTGGGAAAATGTGTCTAACAGACAGGCCATGTTGGGTTTTCTTTGTGTTTTTTTTGTTTTGTTTTTTTTTGTCAAATAAACATGGTAGGCTAGGTTTACACCTATTCTTCTGCTTCCAAATGCTTTTTTGGAGCGTTTTTGCAGGTCATTTTTTTATGCCTTGCAATGCATTCATGCTTTTTTTTTTTTTTTTTTTTTTTTTTTTTTTTCTTCAGTGGCAAGTAAAAATTTTTTTTTTTTTTTTTTATAATTACAATGGAGCGAGATTTGTTTTTATGCAGAAATATAATTTTAATAAGCATACGTTAGCATATTCACTGAAGTTGTTTTCAGAAGAAACTTACGTTTGCTGTCTTTGTATGGCCAGGTAACTGTCCCCAATCCTTGTACACCTCACAGGCAATGTCCTACCATGCCACATAATCCCCCTTCATCAGGGTTGGGTGAATGGCAGAATGTTTGGAGGAGCTTCAGTCTCCCCAAACAATTAAAATCAGCAGCTACAAGTACTGTAGCTGCTGACTTTTAATATAAGGATACTGTCCAGGGATCCAGCGCTGTCCTCACCTGAGCCAATTCTTCAATGGGCTTCAGGTCCAGGCTCTGGCATCTTAACGAAAGAAAACCGTCAGGAAAGCCTTGCGGATGCACAGCTAGCTTACCACTGCATATGCGCAAGCCACACTGTGCTTTGTGAATGGTCCCGCAGTCTTCTGAGACCCGTGATAGAAGGCTGCTGGCAAAGAGGTGGGGAGTAAACTTCTGTCAAAACTGGGTACCTGCTCACCCCCCCCAAAAAAAAAAAGTGGCAGATGTTGAAGGGGGGGGGGAGCAAACAAGCGGAACTTACCCTTTTTGGTGAAGTTCTGCTTTAAATGGACTCATAAATCCTGCAGGCAGAGGATGTTATAGTGCTAGTGTTCAAAGTGGAAGCAGCATATTTATATTTAATAAATTGGCCACAGATGATTGAAGGATAGATGCATATGGCTCGGACTACATTTACTTGCTGAGCATCCGCAATCAATGCCCCCTCCATTACAGCATTGGAGAGTTTTTTCCCGCAATTGTCGCTTTCAGAATTTTACCAGCCAAAATATTCATTGACAGAGACCTGTGAGTGAATGAGCTACAAGTGGTGTCTGCCACAAGTGCGTTACTGAGTGACCCTTCCTTCACTGATCGTGGGTGCAATACTTTGCAGGTGCCTGTAAAAAGAAAGAAAAATCAATTAAATACATTTTTGAAAAATTTTAAATGCTAATTTTTTTCCTGCAAAAATGTGTGCTTTTATAATTTTATTTTAATGTGACTTTCTCCTGTAACTGACATGCCGAAGCTGCTACATTTAGTCTGTGTATGTATGCATCAATGACCTCTGGTCATGAAGGGGTTAATAAGCTACTGTTTAGGTATAATTGCGGTTTTCACACCACTTTGTATAAGCTACAAATGGTTTTTGTATGCTAAAATTTAGGATTTAATCCATAGTGTGTAGTGAAAGGTTTTTCACTATACTGGAATCTACTTGGGGGGAGGCTTTTCACTTTTGAGTTCCTTCCTCCTCATTTTTTTTCTCTTCTTTTTTTCTTTCTTCTCCTCTTTCTTTGTTTTTCTCCTCCAGTCTTCTTTTTTCTTTCTTCTTTCTCGTTTTTTGTGTACCATAGTTTGGGTATATTCCTGCAAGCATCACATGGGGGCGCCCTCCTACTGTGATGGGATATGCATATAAAAATGAAGAATGTTCAGCAAGATTTGACTTTCAGATTTCAATAAGATGTTATTGCTGAACTTTGTTTAAAGTAAACAACCTGCTAACCACCAATGTGCTGAAGCATTTCCACCTCTTGTTAAATGCAAATGGAACAGGACAATATGAAATTTACATAGTGGTCTCACCTATGTCTGACTGTATATGTTATGTCTGATTTATACGTCTCTATTATTATGGCTTTTGAAGTATTGATTATAATTACCAAAATACTGTCCATTAATAAAATGAAATAAGTGGACAGAACTTGCCACACAAACAATAAGGCATTTTATCCAGGTACTACAGGTTTTGTAAATACCTCCTATTTATTGAATAGAAGCTTTTACACATTTTTGTATACGTACAGTATTAGTATAATGGTTTTTCCAGAAAAAAATGAAATACTGTACTTTGATTGGAATCCCTGTGCACAGTAATCAGGGGGTTATTTATGAAAAGTAATTAACAAGAAATTTTTTTTCTTGCCTATAGCCACCAATCCAGAAATGAGTTGGAATCTTTGATAGCTTTTTATATTTAACATCTTGCTGTTTTGAAATGCTTAGAAAATTGAAACTGAAAAAGATTCACCAAACAGTCTGAAATTTTGGTGAGTTATACACGCCTCTGTTGTGGGAAAAAACATTTATAAAATATATCCAGTCCATGTTACTACAGAGAGAAGCCACAAACTGACAGAGGACATTTCAGGAAATTCCCCTATTTACATGAGAACTGTTTTTCTATAATATGGTATAATACTCCTTAACGTCCCCTAGCACCCTCCCTTAATTTTAGTTTTACCTGCCCAATCTCCTGCAAGATTCATGCTGTGTGGCCAACAACTGCTGGTCTCTCTCTTCTTCTGCACCATGTGGACTTCCTATGGAGAGTCACCCATTATGCGGCCCAATGGTGGACAGCCTCTTCATAGGCATTAATGGAATTTTCCCACAGGGTTTGCAGTGGTGGCTGTTAGGATCCCAGTGGGCTGCTCAGTGTAGACCCTTCAGGACTGTGTATGTGTGAGTATAAATGGACAGGCTTAAAGTGTCTCTAAAGGCAAAAACTTTTTTACAGTTTTTGAATAGATAAAGGGAGGGTTAAAACCCTCCCTTCAGGTTTTTTGCCATCTGTGTCCCTCTATTTCTCCTCTATTCTTGTTCACATGTCAACCCAAAACTTGGGATTTTCTCTTTTTTTTTTCCCTTTTGATGTTAAAAAAAGACAAACGGAGTGGGTGAATCTCCACAACAGACAGCAATAAAACCGACAGGTGTACTAATCCTCTCCACTCTATCCAAAACATAAAAAAAAAAAAAAATTTAAAAGTTTACCTTCATGCATTCTATGAGAAACCACCTCCTCCCACCACTGACTGACCCACACCCCCTTAACTACTGCCCCCACTGATAGACCACCACCCCTCAACTACTGATGGACCCCCAACTCCTGACTCACAGCCTACCACTGATAAACCACCACCCCCTCCAACTACTGATCCCTGTCCCCCACTGACAAACCCCAGCTCCCCAAAATACCACACTCTCCCCCCACTGACAAACCCCCAACCTCACCAAATACCACCCCTCCCCCTACTGACAGACCCCCAACCCCCTCAGATACCACCTCCTCCCTCCAGTGTCCCTCCTCTTTGGAAAAAAAAAAGACAGCTGAGCTGCAGTTTTGTTGCCCACCGGAATTCTAACATTACAGCATGACAGGGCTGTGCACGTGCCCTGGACATTGCAATTTTAATTTAGTCTGAAGAGTTTGATGATAGTGTGACAAGCGGTGCCACATTGAGATCAATCGGGATGTACTGAAAGGA